GTGGAAGTCCAGCCATTGATAAAGCAAATTATGTGAAACTCGTGCAGGTAAATTGTCAGTAATTTATCTAATTTCATTTACTTATAAATTTGGGCACTAATTAAAGAGACTGATCAACTTGTAAAAAAAAATAGAAACAAAAAATTTGGAAATAATTTTTGTAGATTAGACCTTGATCTGTTGATTTTTATCAATTTAGAAAAACTGTTACATGATAAAGATATTAGTCTAAATAAAGACTTGAGCTTTAAGATGCTTCCTTAGAATTCTTTTATTAGATTTTATTTAGCATTCTTTCTATTAGATGTAAGTGATCAATTTTAGTTTTATATGATTAGTAAACCAATATTGGCTTTAAACACAGTAAATATAAATACCACCCCAGTCTTGTTTATAATATTGATACAATGTCAAACCACTTCCTAACTTTTGTAGAGATCTGCATATGAAAACAGACTATGGGAGTAGAGTAACAAAGAGATTTCTTTTAAATAGAGAACAAATGGATATATACATTTTTAATTAAAGAACAAGAATTTGCATAAATTAATAAAAGTATGTATCTGTTTATTCTTCATTCAAGATTTAATAATTATTAACCTCAAATGTTTGTGCATCTTTTTTTGAAAAAATCCCATGCAAATGAAGTTTTTAAAAAAAATTAGAAAATTAAAAAATATGCAGATATCAATGATGGTATCACACTTTCAAACTTGACATTTGTAAATAATAGCTAAGTTCAATAACATTGTAAAAGTCAGGTATTGATTTTACACTATATCATTATTATATACAAAGACCAACTTCTTTTTTTGATTTGTGGCTTAAGAAAGGTCTAACGAACACTCATTTATAATAAATATTTTCACTTTTATTTTAAAAAAAAAGCAAGTGTACAAGTGTACCTGTCTATTTAACTAGTGTCTAAATGTGAATAAAAGCTATTAGCTTTGTTACTTATAATCTGCATTTGCACAGTCCCAATTTATGTACGTGCTTAAAGCTCTAAAGAAACTAGTTTGGAACTATTTGAAAATTATACTGCATTTGATAAGCCAGATATGTTATTTTTATATTTACTGTGTTTAAAGACGGGATTAGTTCATCAATCATATAAAAACGAAAATTGGCCACTTACTTACATCCAGTAGAAAGAAAGCTAAATAAACTCTAATAACAGAATACTGTCTATGGAAGCATCTAAAAGCTTTAGTCTTTATTTAGACTATCTTCATCATGTATTAAAACAATTTTTAGTATTTTTGATAGATAAAAACTACATTGACAAACACCTAGAGTTCTCAAGGGCAAAAGAAAAATGGCAAAGATGCCAGATACTAATTATCCTTTTATTTTTTATTAGTACTTACTAAAACATAAATATTTCCTTTAATGTTTTTGGTTATTTTTACTTGGATAAACTGTTGCTTAGAATATTATTTGGAAAACTATTAAAAATTTCCTTTGATTGAAAATAATTCATCATCAAACATTCAAAGGAGATTTGTCTGTTTTACTTTTAATCATTGTAGCCATTAGTGTAAAAACAAAGTAGCCCCTGAATTTGTTACTTTTGAAAAGATATTCAAGAAAATATTCTTTAAGAGATCTGAAAGTTGTCATTGAAAATCTGTCAGTGATTGTGACAATTTAAATTGTTAATGAACCTTTGCTATTTAAATTTTTGTTTTTTTTTATTTTTTAAAGGAAACCCATGATTACTTCTCAAAAGAAGCTAAACTTTCTGGACATAGACGTTTACTTCTAACAGCTTCCGTTTCTGCTGGCAAACAATACATCACCAGAGGATATGATATTCCTAAAATTCAAATGTTAGTGGCAGTTGTGTTCTCTCTAAGGAAAAAGAGTTTGAATTTTGTTTTATGTCTCCATCCTCTACAATTTTGAAATTCAGTTAATTTGTGATTCCATTTGTAGGTACCTGGATTTTGTAAATTTGATGAGCTATGATTATCATGGTGGATCTTTTAGCAATATTATTGGTCATAACAGTCCACTGTATGCAAGAAAAGGAGAAAAGGGAGATGAAAGAACATTTAATGTTGTAAGTATTGTAATATATTGTTTAGAAAATGATAACCAGTACAGAAACAAAACACAACAGTGGTACAAACTAGTCGATCTTCTTTATTCTTTATTTCATTTTGTATTATTCAAAGCAAATACTGCAAAAAAGACAAACACCTTAATGAATTAAGATTTAATGTTGTTAAAGAGATTTACAATTGCTTTCACTTTTCCTTATGTTTTATCTGGTTGTACAAGTAAAAAGATTTTCAAGAAAGCTTGCAATTAGAATGTGTAGAGGGAAGTTTTCTACAGTATAAAGATGAGACCAGGAATTAACAGGCTGCATGCTACATTTTTTTTTGTTGTTTTATCCATTAGACATTTTAATTTTGCTTTCAGTAGATATCTTCCTGAAATATAAAATACTGCAATGTCTGGTTCATTTGATTTTGAAATGGAGCTAATAATTCATTTAGTAAAGAGGAGGTATAAATATTGTAGATGATTAGTATAGACCAATGTTTTTCAACCTTTTTTATCTCACAACACACTGGAGTTAAACTTCTGCAGCATACTTGAACCTAGAGTTAAACTTCTGCAGCACACTTAAATTATAATGATCAAAAATAAAAGTAAAAAGAAAGAGTATACTTTTTATGATTTATTTACTAACACATATATCAATGTTCTTCAGCAAGTCCTTGTCAAATCATGCCATCTATGGTCATGTCATGTGACGTCATTTTGCACACCTCACCCACTTTATATATTATGTATATGTTTGTTTATTATAACAATGATATACTAATATAATCAATTTAAAGGAGTTTAAATTTTGATATGTACATTTATTGTATCTTAGACATCTTTCAAAAATAATTTAATTAATGACCTTTAAAAGATTTTCAATGCACACCTCTGATCCTTTTATGGCCCACCAGTGTACCACAGCACACCAGTTTAAAATCACTGGTATAGACCATGATAGTTAATAGAGATTAGAGAATTAAATATTTACTAAACCTAGTTTAGTATGATAGAATGGGATAAATAATAGATGTAGAATATAATAGTTATTCGTAGAAATATTTAATTTATAAATTGAATGACTAGCTTAAATAAAAAATCTTTAAAAACATATAAATTAGCAAAATTTGGATTTAATAGAATACACATTTTTAAGAGAAAATTTTTCAAGGCAAGCTGCATATGTGGGTCATATATATATATATATATATATATATATATATATATATGTATGTGTGTGTGTGAGACACTGTAAGAATGCTGATAATTTGAAGAAAGAAAAAAGGCTTAAATTAAATCAAAAGTGAACACAAAGACAAAGAAGGTACTAGACAGATTGAAGGACATACCAAAAACTAAAGAAAATATACTTTTATTTATTTTATTTTTTTTTTTGTGAATAAGGATCTTGCTAGAAGATAGCACTGAAATCCACTTAGGCAAAGTTGAATCATCCAACACTAATTAGACATGATGTCTCCTTATTTTGATTTGCTAGATAGGACCAGCAGAAGGTGTGTAGGAAAGGGTGCTGGCCAGAGTGGGGTGGTGGAGAACCAAGAGACCACTCCAGAGAGCAGATAAGAATTATATGGTGACATTAGAAATAACACCTGTTTTGAGCCACCCAGAGGCAACCATGGAAATATTTGATTGGATGACAGGAGATTCAAAGGTATCTCAAAACAAGCCAAACCCAACCCGGTTTTTGGAGGTTGGATTCCATAAATAGTCATGCAGGGATCCCAGGAATGAGAAGAGAGAAGCGAGAGAAGACGTGCTTCCATTATGCCATGTGATTTGCTCCTGACTCATGCCTTGTTCCAGACTATTAGATAAATTGAGCAGAGTGCCCTGATGAAATTGCAAAGTGGAAAAATTAAAAGTCTCTGTATAACAACAGAAAAAGAGAGAAAGCAGGAGACAAACGTGTCACCATATTCTGTAATTTGCTGCCTGAAGAAATCTTCGACTTAAAGTTTGAAACTTTGACTCTGACTTGGAAATGAAGAATAAAGTGTCAGGAAATTAGACTATGAGGGAATGGTTGTTAGCTTGCATGCTTGTAGATTCTTATATGAAAAAGAGTTCCTATATAAACCTCAGTTATATGAACCTTGTTGATTTGCACAACTTACTTTTTTTGGTTTTATAACATTGTCCCTCTTGAACAACAACAATCCAGTGATATCTGGTGACATTTTGATTCTTGCCTGCCTTGTGATCAAATCAAACACAACGTGGGGCAGGGAGAAGCTAGGATCAAAGTGACCACTTCCCAGTTAGCTGCAGGATTTGATTGTGGATACACTAGTGACCAAGGACAGGACGGCATTGTCATGTAGTGCAGAAGTGTTATGTGTGTGTGTGTCTTTTATAAACATGTATATGGTAAGATGAAAGAACAAATGAAACAACAAGTACCGCTGAAATATTGTCAATATAAAATTTTTTGTATTACCGATACAGAAGATGTGAGTGCTTTAATGTCTGTAATATGGGCAAAGGAGTTAGTTTTTGAAAGAATGGTAGATTTGGTAAAACCTGGAGTTGATGTATTTGTCAGATCAATTAACTGATGTCACAGAGGTGATTTTGAGAGAACCCTGAAATGTATTAGTGAAGCTTGCTGTTCACCATGAATCTATGCCAGTCATTTATGAGTGGGTTTCATAAAAGCAAGTTGTAGTGGCTCTGGGACTCATCTTTTGTTCATGATTTTTTCTTGGCAGCAAATGACTTATTTTAAGTTGTTACTTTATATTTTTTGATGGGATTGTTTTTGTGAGCCTGATGTGATTCTCAGAGCCCCTATGTAGAGGATGACTTTTTTATTTTGAGTTTTACTTTCTTATCATTCACATCTGGCCAACATGTAGAGTGAATGAAATAGAAATCTAATTTGAAGCAGTGTATATCATATATATAAAAACAAAATAGTTTATTGAAATAGAAGGCAATTTTTTTTATTTTAATATAAATTTTATTGAATGTCATATTCACCTTTTTGTTCCGGCAACTTTATAATTCCATCTTCTCAGAACTTTTTATTTTTTCAGCATAGAATTGCTGTAAATGCCTTTTGCAGTCTTCTCAAGAACTGAAATCATCTTCAGATTTCTCTAAAGACCAGAATAAATGGTAAACTGAAGTTGCAATATCTGGTGAATACATAAGTGAAAATTTCCCAGTTGTCACAGTTTTTGTGACCAAAAGAAACATACAATCAAATATTGTCCTGGTGGAGTATTATTTCTCTTAATGCTGAAAATGTTTTGCTAATTCCTGCTTTCATTTAGTCTAAATGGGAACAGTACTTGATTGAATCAATTCTTCACTTCTCCAAAAGATGTTCTCTTCTAATCTTACCATATCCACAGCATTACCTTCTTTGGATGAAGACAGGCATTTGATACAGTTAATGGTGGTTCATGACTTCCACTGGCCTCATAATTTCTTGTGTTCCATTTTTGTTATAAGGTATCAATTCTTATCATCCATCACAGTTTGTTTCAAAAACATAGCTAAGTGGCAAATCAAATACAGAAATACAATACAGTACATTTTTTTTTTCAATTAATCAAGATGGAAGCCATGCATCAAAGTGACTAATATAACCAAGCTGGTCCAAAATGATTTCTCCATGCTTGATATGAATATTTTGAATAGATGTGTTACTTCTTATATCATAGAACATTGATTATTCTCAGTTAAAGTATTGATTTCATTGCTATCAACTACTAATGATCTACTCAAGTGATCTAGCTTGCATAAAACTTCACAAATCACTTTTGATACATTTGATCATTCATAGTCCATCTCTCTACCTTTCTTTGGCCCAATGCCCATTGGTATCAACAGTATTCTGGATAGTCACCTCGCAGTAGGATTATTCATAACTGTTGAAATCTGTTGTGTTTTTCTTTCACAAAACATGTCTAAGCATCTTTGTACAACATCAAATGGTCAATTTTTTTAAATCAGAGTTGTTTTTCTCCTAGACTGGTTGCCAACCATATGTAACTCACTGTCCCTTGCATTAGTCTTCAGATTCCTTCAGACCACCATGCTTACCATCTAGCTGATTCTTCACTCATTAACACATTGCTGGTGTTTCACCAGTATCATGTTGAAGAGCACAGTTCCACTCAATCTAGCAGGCATTTGTCTACTTCACAACCCTTCACTCCTCTGCCATGTTGTGTTTTTGATCTCAGAAGGTGAGAAGATCACTGGTGAAGTAAACTGAAGTGAAGAATAAGTCGACAGTGATGAGAAAAAAGAATTCTCTGGAATAAGGAATTGGGTTAAAAATGTAACAAAGATTTGGTTTATATATGATTTGTTGTATACAGCAGTGTTAACCCTTCCCACTTATTGTTATAATCAAATGACCCTGGTATCCCCTTCTGGAGTTTACAGCCTGTGGTTAGTAGTAATTGAAATTTCTAAGTTCTGGTCTCCAGGGCTGGAACAAGGTTTTGGTTAGGAGGTCTCAGTGAATGATGTAAACCCCATTAGCAGTAATGTGGGGACTCTCCAAGTTGTTCAAATCTCCATCTTATATAGAGTACTGCATCCAGTAGGTGTGGGGTTGATGAAGGTCTGGGGTTCAGTTGTCTTCCTCCCTTAGCATCAACCTTTTTCTAAAATTCCATATTTTCAAAATATGTTTACTCAAGTAATTTTCTAAATTTAGGGGTTATCCATCCTCCTTTTGAGAGTGGTCTGAGATATCAAGCCACACCTTAACTCCAATTCCCTTCACATCTCATCTCGCACAATCACTCCATATAGGTGGTGATAATTTCTTCTTTCTCCCACTTTCTCAGTATCCAACCTCAGACCACTCCAACGCACACTGTTACAACAAATCCAAATTTTTAGAATGCATTGGCTAAAAGGAGATTTCTAGTCATTTAATCTTTCTTTATTATCTTGTCTCATGCTGATTGTTTTTAGGTGATTTCTCAATCAAACAGGCCTCACAGCTGGCTGCCTATAACTAATTTTCCTTTATCACTCGTATCCAAAGGAATCTGAAATAATGTTGGCTATAAAATTTTTGACAAATGCCACAGAAATTAAAATGAACGAACCCGTCCCCAATCTTAGGTGCTAATCTATATTTTTGTAGGGATATTTTTCTCCTGAGTGGCCAATTCACACCAGATATCTTTCCTGGCTCTTTGTCCAGAACAATCTTAAATGCTATTTTGGTGACCACCCAGGTTTCTTTATTGACAACATATTTTTTTTCTATTTTTCAGGATCGATATCTTTGAGGATACATTGTCTCTTTCTTTTCAGTGGGAAGTGGGGACAGAAGGGTAGCCTTGGTTTTTCTCAATCTTACTGAATTCCATCTAGTTAAATTTGGGTTTGATTCTCCTTGTAACTGTTTGGGATTTCATTTTATTATTTTGAAACATGATTTTTCAACATATTTTGTTAATTTTCTTCTCAACTTTTCAATCCACTTTCCTATGAATTTCAACAGTTATCATCCAGTTAGTAGTCTCTTTCTTCTTTCTTTTTTCGTTTTTGTTTGAATAATCTGCTGAGCTGCCAGTGTTGACCATGGTTAGAAATTCCAGCTTGCCTTGCTATTTAACAAATAGCTGGTAAGAGAAGAGATGAATTCATACCTTTTCCAAGAGTATTTTGTACAAAATTGAATATAACAAACTCAACTGGAATTTGAACTCATCTCCAAGTCAATATTAACTTTTGGCCTCTTTCCTCATGCATTCATAGTACCTTCTCCACAAATCTTTTTTCTGTATTGCTTTAAAATAAAAAAGCATAATGTGATAAAAATGCATTTTTTCTCCATCTACAAAATCATTTTTGACAATGTGCCGACAGGTGTTACAATACAATGAAAAGTTAAAAACAAAATTCTCCAATTGCTAATTAATGACAAGAAAGAGAACAAACAGTTTGGCTTACCCATTACAGCACAGCTAGATTTAAGTAACAAATAAATACCGGCAAAACATTTAGAAACAAATTTATTCATTATGTTAATATAGGTAGAACATTTTAAAATAATAATTATTAAGTCATTAATCTGAATTAAAAAAAAGTAATATTTTCAACATGAAGCATTTATGTAATTTATAACTGAGTTAAAAGTTTTTCAAGGTCTATGTATTTTGATTTCTTTATTTCTTCAGAATTGGAGTGCCCGCTACTGGGTATTAAATGGACTTCCTAAAATGAAGTTGAACATTGGGCTGGCCATGTATGGGCGAGGATTTCGTTTGGCAAACAACTCTTGCACTGTTCCTGGCTGTCTTTCCATTGGACCTAACTCACCTGGTCAATATACAAGAGAAGCTGGATTTTTATCATACTATGAGGTATTGATATCAATGCTATTTCACCAACATAGAGATTTAGACCTCAATTAGGACTAATTGGGTTATCAGTGTACAATTAACTACCTTACAAACTGATTTAGGTTACAGCTTTCTAAATTCAGTCAAACCTTTTAAATTCAGTTACAATTAAATACAAGTCAGTTTTATTTATTAGAATAGACTAACTGCTCTTGAAGTGTAGCTTTGTGTCAAGGCTAGTCTATTCTTACAAATTTTTTATAATACACACATTAACTGCCAATTTGTCTATTTTAAATCTATTGTTTTTAGTTGATCAAGGTGTTGAGAACAACAACACTTTGTCTGCCGTTTATCAATAATTGCTTTGAATTTAATTTTCCCATTATGCTATTGTTATATATTTCTTCCTGTATGGAAAAGTTTTAATAAGAGAACAATGAAGATTTTTTTATCATGGTTTAAAACTCTATCATAAGTCAAGCTGATATTTTCACTTAAAACAGATAATTTCTAAGTGCATATCAGGAAATAATTATAAAATTCTGTAATATAAAAATTAAAATTTTTATAATAAATATTTATTCTACATTTATAAAATATTACTATATCAAAAAAACTGATTATAATACTGTTGGGATTGCTATGAGTTTGAATTTGGTATCAGAAGGTTTTTATATTAAGATGGTTAGTTTATGGGCATGTTCACCATATAAATCCGCAACAATATAGAATATAGACATTCAAAAATGAATCAATCACAAGGCAATTGAGTAAGAAACACCGATTATGAGATTTCAATAAAACAACATGCATTTATGTACAATTAATACACAATTTGTAGTTTGATAATGCAAGAAATTGACCATTGATAAGTTGGGTTTCTTATTGATTTACAGTTCAAAATTGTTCAAGTGTTTAAGAACTGCTCAAACAGAGTTAAGTGGAAAATATTATTTATACAGAAATTTGTTTAGTTTGTATGCGTGAATAAAGTAGGAGTTTGTATGCGTGAATAAAGTATGGTTTAATTATCTAAATTTTCCAGAGTTGTTTAAATTGGATTGTTCTGTGTTTGTCTTTGTATAAAAATACAATTTGCACAAAGTTGTAAGTGAGATGTGGGAGATTATGTTGATGTTTGAATCAGCAGTTGACGCGCGAAAAGTATCTTAAGTCAAAGTAGTGACATGCATGGATTTGTGTGGCATCTCTCTGAAGTTTATTGACTGACTGACTGGACTTGTGTGAGTGTTGTAATGGTCTTTAACATCTGACTGCATGGTTAAGATGGGCGCTCTTGAAGGTTACATCTTGGCAGCAAGGAGAAAGATGAATGAAGAGAAACACGAGGGAGCCTATTCATGCTTTGTTTATATATGGCTGTGTATCACGTGCGAGGCTCAGATCAAAAACGCAGGAAAACAGATTTGTCGCGTGCAGGCAGTTTGATTGGTCGGAACTGACCAATCAGCGAGCTACTTTTGAGGAGATCAACCAATGAATGCTTGTCTATTTACTGTGTTTATGTAATGTGGTGGTAATTACCATAGAGGAAGAGTGCATTTTCCAATGGAGTGTAACTGGCAAATGTGGAATCTTCCACAATACCAATTAAGAAAAAAGATATTAATATTAAAATATCACAAAAGTAATCATTATATTCAAAATCTGTAGTGTTTTATTGGATTTAGTATCATTCTTATTAAATTTTATTGATCAGATGTTAATTCTTTGCTATGTAACAGTCTATCTTCAAAATATCTAAATATTAATCTATGGTTTTTGATGATATATAAACAAAACTTAAAAAAATAAATGAATAAATAAATGGCTCAAAGATTATCTTCTGGGTTTTATATTTAAAGTTGAGGTAGCTGTTAGGCTAATGTTTAACCAGATGCCATAGATTAACATCACTTGTACTTAGCTTAGCTTCATAATACTGTAAGATTAAAGGTAAACTGGGGAGGCATAGTCTTATATGACATCAATTACAGTATGTATGTATACATCTATTTTTTTATAGATATATATTCTCTGTGTTTCATTGATGTTTTCATATTTCCTGTACTGTTTCAGTACTAAAAAATTTCAGGCCAATTTCCCTATGTAGAAAGGAAATTGATAATTACAATTTTTGGAATATACCAAGCTTAGTGTGTGCATGTGTGTGTATATATATATATATATATATATATATATATATATATGAGTGGATATTGAAGTCAACACCCAGAGCCGACATTCTGTTTTATGCTTAAATGCAATCATCAGGCCAAATGCATTGCAATTTTGCTCAACTATTTATATATACAGGTCAGTGATGCATTGTGGGTAGTCTATTGTACTGTTCTAATGGTTATTTTGGCAGTCGGTTATGGTTATATTTCAAATTATTGTAAGGGTTATTGAGTGGAAATAATTGTGGATCTGAATACAGTTTTTGGGCTATACAACACTATAAATATCCAAATAACTGCATTTAAGCAGTGTAAGCATAAAACAGACTCTTGCCTCTGGGTTTTGACTTCAAAGTCCGCTTTTATATTTACATATACTCTAACCCTGATATTGGGCACTTTAACCCATAAATATAGCATACTTTAAAACTATATTTTATCATGTATATATATATATATATGTGTGTGAGTGTGTGCAGATAATCTGTATTATTTTTTATTCTTTTGTATTCTGCTTTACATTTCAGATATGTGATTTAATCAATAAAGGTGCAAAGGTTTCCATAATCAAAGACCAAAAAGTTCCTTATTTAGTTTACAATGGTGAATGGATTGGTTATGATGATGTCAAGAGTTTGACTGTTAAGGTAGGTATTAGTTAATTTACTATGCATGTATTGTAGAAAGTAACAAAATTATTAAGCTGAACTTCATTTTTTTATAAAAGACACAGTAAATCAATAGTATATTTTACTTACAATTTGTGATCTTTTTAATGTTACATATTTTTTTCTACTGGTCTTATTTTACACAATATTATATAAGAATAATTAAAATGAAAGTAAATCACTTAATAAAAAAATTATCCACCACATTTGAGAAATCTCCAATTTTTGTCACTAGCATTTAAAAATAGTGTGTCTACATACAAAGACAACATGTCTACATGCAAAAATACTGAAACATTAAACTTTAAAATACACAGAAGTGACAGTAAATAGTAAAGCAGAGGACACTGTCTTTTAATAACATTAATACAAATATTTTATCTTTTTTTTAATATAAATCTTGGAATACACTATCTCAGATTTTATTATAAAAGTTAATGTTTTCATAATAAAATTTGTATTAATTAAATGATGCTGGAAAACTCTGCAGACATATAATGAATATACCATGTGAAGTTTACTTATAATACTTATTTTATCAGAAATGTTTAGAATAACTTCTTTAGTGACATCAGAAAATTGCCTTTGATCTTAAGAAAAATCTAACCTCAAAGAAGAAACAATATATTGTAAAGTTATTGGAAAATGCAAAAATGTTAAAAAGAAATAACAGAACAATAAAAAAAAGAAATTTCAACCCATAAGTAAAGAAGAAAAGAATATCAAAAATTAAATTTTAGAAAAATCAAGAGTAATATGTGGATTAAACATAGCAAGAAAATATTGGTATTATAAATGTAAACAAAGTAAAAAGATTGAATATTAAGAACACTGACTAAAAATATAAAACATAACAAACTACTTCCTTTAAGTAAACATCTCCAAGAGAAACAAGTTGAGCAAAAGACATCATGAAAACTGATTACTTAGCAGTAATTTTTAGTAATGAATATAGAAATATATTCAATAGACTTGGCAGCTTGGTTAGAGGTTAGGTTCTTCATGGAAAAAAAATGTTTCAAAGACTCCAAATTAAATAACAGACTGAAAGTTGCTTTTGACATCAGCTGCCAATTTGATCTTTGGGCTGATCAGACTTATTCTCAAGACGGGAGTAAATGGTTGTGTCATTATCATGGATACCAAGTTGAGAGCTAATGTCATTAATAAAAATTAAAAACAAAGTAGGACCAAAGATAAAGCCCTGGGTGACATCTTACATTAGTATGAAAAGATCTAGAAGAGTAACCATTCAGAATAAATATTATTTCACAATTTGATAAGAAAGACCAGATCAATTTAAAAATTTGACTGTAGATACCATAAATTTTCAATTTGTGAAGAAGACCTGCATGCCTGTTGAAAGCTTTTGAGATAGCCAAAGCAACAGCCTGAACCTCACCTTTCTTATCTAAAGATTCTTTCCACAAATATCATCAGAACATCGGTAGTTGACCTAGAGAAATGAAATCCATATTGCTTGTCTGCATTGCAAGTCCCTGCAATGTGAGATGCTTAACCAAATCAGCATTGATTAGGGTCACTAGTAATTTCCCAAAAAGAGGTAGAAGGCTGATAGTTGGAAGGTGTCAGAGGGTCCATCTGACTTCTTAAAAATTGGAATAACAGATGAGGACTTTGGCATGCAGGAAAGCAAGAAGCAGCAAGGTATTTATTATACAGTTTAGAGGGAACAGAAATCAATTCTGAAGCACACTTTTTAAGGACTATTAAAGGGATACCATATTTTTTTTGGGGGGGGGGTATCCAGATTGAAGATGATAGCAGAAACCATATATGGGGTTATATGCCTATATCACTCAACAGAGACTCAGGTCTAAGTGGAAAGTTAGGCGTGGATACTCCAGGTAGGTCAAGTGTAGAGTTAAAGGAGAATTTATGGGTGAAACATTCAGTTTTATCAGTGGAAGATGTTAACACCTCAAAATGATTGAAGAGAGGAGAAATAGAAAACTTACTCTTATTTAGAACACTATTACAGAGTCACCAGTAGTAATGAGAGCCAAAGATGTTATACAGTGCCTCATTCTCTCAGCAAACAGAGACTTAACTCCTTTGAGTATACATTTACATTTTATTATGTGCTGCCATGAATATGCATCTGTTATGATGGGAACTGTCTCACTGATATAGCTGGAAATAGTGAAGAGGAAGATTCAGTGGTAGCAATGGAAGAATTTAAATTGGTTTCAAAAAGTGCAAAGACCATTTTAGGAGAAAAGATTCTATACTGCAGAAGTTGGAACAAATACCACAAACATTGAAGAAGGAAAGGTTGAGGAGGTTACATGTTTTTTTGTCTACTAGTTTTTGCATATTTCTTTTCATTGTATAATGTGAGACTAGAATTTCCTTTGTGTTTTGTAATGGTGTTCTGTTCTGGCAGTGTGTAGGGTGAACTAAAGGTGGGAGATGGTCAGACTTACATATCAGCCCATACCCCTTTCACTTGTTCTCTCTCACTCTCACACTCCTTCACCCACTCTCATAGCCAAATCCAGTCACAAAGAAAATACCACTTCTTAGCAAGTTTAGTTAAACGTAAGAGATTATCTAATATTGTGCTAATCAAATATATTTTTATGGCCTATATCTTTTGGATTTATTTATAAATAAAAAATTATGTTGTATTATTCAATCAAATAAAAGTAACCTGACACTCCAAAACAAATTATTATCAATATTTTAAATAAAGACAGATAACATCTGAAACTCACATGATATATTGCTCATTTTACTAACATTGGTTGGTTAATGCTAATATTATGTGTAGGCATCATGCCAAAAAGGACCTGCTGGAACAGGGTAGTTGTCTCTCATTCAGGGCAGTCATCTCTCAGCATCCTCGTTGGCTCCCTCGGCCCTGACTACCAAAGCCTTCTGACACACTCATTTTATAGACCATGATGAAACAGCTGATTGGTTGAGTGGAAGAGTTTTACATATGCGTAGACGCACTGCATTAATTTTCTTTTCTTTTAATTGCTCTGCAACACCATACGCATGCAAAACATCTTTTACATGGCGTGGTACTCTGTCTACAAGGACTGAATGAGGACCATAGACTGTCATCACTTTCCCTTTCTTGAACCTGGTTGTACACCGCCCATGCGGTCTCTTCACCCAAACAACATCTCCTGTAGTATATGTTCCAGAACCTGTGATGCCAGGTGGTAGTGTGGTATCAATGCCCTTCATGCAAGTGCAGTAGGTATAAATTAAGTTGGCTGGCGCTGTTGAAGCAGTGGTGTTGTCCTGTGGTGTCACATTATGCCAGTATACCCTTGATTTTCCAGACAACATGTCTGAAACCCAGCGATGCATGCATGCCGAGTCTGTCTTCAGGTGAATCAACTTTGCTTTCTGCAGCACTGTGTCAAGTTCTGCTAAGTTGATGTGCTTATCCTCACTCATTGATTACTGCCAACTAGCATCTTCAGCCACAGCTCCACCACTCTCAATGACAACACCAGTGGCTAACGAGCTCACATCCACCCATACAGTGACGTCCTGTCTGTCAACACACCTGTCCCCATCACTAGATCTGTTTGTGCCACTCTGGTGAAAACGTCTGCCAAGATCTGGCTCAGGAGATGGTCTCATACTTTATCACCTTATCCAGTTGTCACGACATTTACTCTACCCTTTATGAATGTGGTCACAAGTAGCTAGCTACACACTAGAAAATGTCCCTTCAATTTCTCACACACAGAGAAAATATTTCAATGTTTTAGTACATCAGGCATCGTTGACAGCTTACTTCCACAACTCCACTGAAGCTTTTTTTCCCTTTCTTCCCAGACATGCAATCCTAACGTGTGTGCCGCTTGGTAAATGCTCTGGGGCCTTGCACATAAGCCCAAACCTCTGAAAGTGCTCTTTTTACACAGAATGCAGGACATATGTTCTCATTGACGAATACATCGTCAGTGTATGAAGATGTAGCTTCGTTGATGTTCTCATCTTGTGCAACTACGGTGTTAACAATGTACCACATTATCAGGGGTGCCATGTTAAGCTTGAACCCCAAGCGAGTGAGGCAGTATCTTTTCCCCTTGATTTCTACTGTCTGGAATGGCCACTAGGACTTCTCGATGTGAACTTGCAAATAAGCCCAGCACAAGTTCAACACAGCAACATCTGAGCCTTGCTGCCGCCACTCTCTTAATTTGTGTGTGCACATACATCTGTACTGGCAGTGTATGCATCTACAAACTCATTGAGTTTGCGGTAGTTCATGATGGGCCAAACCTTTAGTTTGTTTTCCTGTAGGGCAGCCATTAGAAGAATCATACTCTTTGGGGACCCAAGCTCATCTTCAGGGTATGGAAGCAGCCAGCCGTTTTGTATCCAAGTTTGCAGCTCTTGGTTGTACTCAGCCCAAATGTGCGCAGGAGCAGGATATTCTGACAGCCTGGTTTTTAACATAACTGGCGGCTGGGCACCAGACCACTTCTACGATGTGATCCATATCCATTTGTTAGTGTCAAACTCTGCTTGGAAATCGAGCTCATTGATGGTGATGGCAGTGCAGATTGGCTTGGGACATTGGGGAAGTTTTACCTCACCGGTGCTAGTCATGGACATCCCAGCCAGCTGTTTGATTGCATCCAGACCAAGCAACAAATCAAATCCAAGTATTTCTTCATCCACAATCAAAGCTTCTATGTCAATAGAGGGTCTGTTGCTTATGTCAAGCCAAACCACCCCGACTACACAGCACCTAAGGGTATTCCCATCTACAGTCAGGATATATACCTCCTTTCTCTCCTATGCCTGGCAGCATGCTTTGCATATGACTGTTTGGGTGCAACCAGTGTTCACAAGAGCTATGCACCTCATTCCATCGATCTGCACAGTCATTGTAGATAGTTGCTCTATTTAAAGGGAATCTGGGGCGAAGGTTGGTGCCAAAGTCTCGTCTCCCTGCCCGTTTCCTGGACAGTTTTGGGCCATATGTCTCCACCACTTACACAGATAACACAAGGCCGGTCTTTGGAGTCCCGCATTATCTTTCCTTGACTTTTCATGCCGCAAGAGACAGTTGCATGCCAAGTGATTGGGCTCGTTGCAAACATAGCATTTTGTCGGTGCATCAACTTCCTTCACCTGACAACGCGATGATCATGCATCTATCGCCGCTTGCTCAATATCTGCAGGACTTTTCTTCAGTATGGAGCATGCTCAAGCTAACACTTGTGAAATGCCCTTATCATCTAACTGGGAAGAGGCTTGGAGCAATTCCTTGGTATGCACTGGCAACACGGCGATACATGCACACATCAAACTTCTATTCATCATACCACCGACCAAAACTAAAAGTTTACACAATTCGACCAAAAAGACATTGACAGTCTCACCCAGACACAAGTGGACTGCTAGAAATTGCTTCCAAGCTTTAACGGAGTCCAGAGCAAAGCATTTTTGATGCAGGTAAAGTCTTCTTTTCTTTGCTCAGCTGCTGATACACTGCATATGCGCCACCCGATAGATGCATAGGAACCAATCAATTCTGCCTTCTCTATCCACTCAATAACTGACTGTCCAGTATCACTTCCATCAAATAGCTGTATCATTTTAGGATCAAAAGCCATAATTGCCAAAATAGCTTGTAGCTCTCATGCCAAAAAGCACCCGCTGGAACTGAGCAGTCGTCTCTCGGCATCCTTGTTGGCTCCCTCGGCCCCCACTGCGAAAGCTTTCAGACACACTCATTTTATAGACCATGATGAAGCAGCTGATTGGTTGAGTGGGAGTGTTTTACATATACATAGGCACACTCCATTAATTTTCTTTTAATTGCTCTGTGACACCATATGCATACAATGTATGGGCGTTTTCAGACATGATGTCACGTATCTTCTTGCTCACAACAATCACATTATGGGAAAACATTAACTTGCATAATAAAATCTGACAGAATAGATGGTTTTCATTTAAAAGTAAATTATCTTTTATTTTGTTTGTGCTAAAAAAGTAGGCTTATTCAGAATAATATCAGAACATTGAATAATTAGTGGATAATTAAGAACTTGTAGATTTTTTCTTTTATATCATCATTGGCTAATCATCTCAAATTAACTTTGTCATTTGCATTGAGGACCACCACTTATAACAGAGGAAGTAAAAATAAAATCATAGTAAGGAGAGCAAAACAAAAAAGTTTTAAACAGTTAAAAATACTTTGCTAAAGTTTATGTATTCCACAGGTTTCAAAGCTAATTCAGAAAATATCTGTGAGCAAATTTGCTATTATTTTATGATGAAACTGAAGAAAATTTATTCCTCATCAGCAACTCTGAGTATAATAAAGAAACCTCCAACAATTGTTTCAAACTACCTATTTGAAAAAAAACTTGCAGGATGAGATATATAAATAATTAAAAAATATAAACAATGAATTTAACTCTGGTTAAACAAATAAAATGATTTATTCTAAAATAAAACTAAATGTTGATATATTGAGTGGAATATGAAAATCTAAAGGTAATAAATTCCCAGTGTTATTTCAATTTGTATTAATCTCAGCCAAAATACAGTTCTTCAAATGTAAACTTTGATTTTTCATCTTTTTCCCCACTCAGATTGACTGGCTCAAGAAAAACAAGTTTGGTGGTGTTGGAATATGGTCATTAGATTTGGATGATTTCTTCAATGGTTGTGGAAGTGGATCTTATGTTTTAATGAAAGCTCTAGAACATAACCTTAAATAATTCTCTGCTCTTATTCAAAACATTGATGGAAAATAATTTTTTTTGATATAAATATTTTGTTTGTTTTCTTTTGAATATTTCATAATTTTATATCTATCATAAACAAATGAAAAAATTGCATCTATATGATATTATCTTGAAACCATTTGGGAATTTTTCTTCTTTTTCATGGTATTATTTCTTTTCTGTTCATTGAAGAAATTTGGTCATTAACTGATTTTGAGATAATGATTTATGAAAACATTCTGGTTCATAGAATTTATATTTGTAAAATTGTTAGAGCAGTTGCAGTTTGCTAAATGTTGACAATCTAAGAATGATTTTAATATTAGATTGTGTTTTCTTTTAGGATTTCTGTACAATTGATATTAATTAAACTTTCCTGCATATCACGTCAAGATTTGTTTCTCCATGAACATTTTGTGTAGAAATAGAAACAATATTATTCTTATCACCTTGATGTCTTCATACATGACCTGACCAATTATTTCTTGAATCTATAAAAAAAATAAGTGTACTCTTTATCTATGTCGATTTATTTCCTCCTGGAGAATACTTAAAAAATACATGATATGCAAGAATAATTCCGAGACAGTATATAAGACAGTATATAAAAATTTACATCGAAATTATGAGATCAACTAAGTTATCTCCCTTGTATCAATGTATTTGCACTTTTTTCCTGAAAAATAAATAGATTTTTCATCTTAAAATACTTTGTCAGCAGTTTTCATTTAAGCAAGTTTTATTAAAGATCACAGACAAGGTTTGTATTATTTATTTATTTATTTATTTCAGTTATTTCCTCTTGTTTTCACATAAAAGAATGAATCTTTGGTTCCAATGTAGGTAAAAAAAAAATGTATAGTTCAAGCACATTCAATTATGATAGGTCATTTTCAGAGTACATTAAGTTATAATTTTGAAATTCATCCAAATTATTTTTTCCATCATGACGTTTGGTGTATAGAAACAAATTTAACTTGATGACGTCATTAGCAGGCTGCTAAAATATAATTTAAAGCACTTTGTGATATTGTGTATTATCAAGAAAATGCAACTTTGTTTTTATTTTTCCTTTTGAAGCTTTCATGCCTCAATAATGGACTAAGAAAAAAAAAAAAAAAAGACTCACTAGTTTCATAAAATGAATACAAAGTGTCCAGTGTCATGTTAAATTTTCATTGTAAATGAACCTCCACAATAATGAAGATCATATTTCTAAAAATATGATAATCATTGATAAAAATATTTCCCTAAAAAAATAGAGCTGGTATGTTTATATTAATTATATTTATTTAATATAATGTTGAAGAACATTTCATTTAATGCAATTTTATTTATTCATTTACTTTGTTCACATCACTATAATATTGGTTTATTTGTCTCATATCAATAGAAATAGAAAGCTTCATGTTGACTAATGGAATTTTACTTTTATCATAAGAAACATGTCACTGCTATTATTAAAGACGTATTAATCAACATGAACTAAATAGTTACATGACGAGTCAAAAATACTTCTCAACTGACATTTTAGTAAGAATAGCACCTAACTTGAGGCATTATCCATTTTGATTTTTTTTTATTTTGTTAGTTAATGAGAATGAACTTAGATTTTAAACGGTCATCAAAGTTAAAGGGGAATAACCGAGTTTTTACTTTTGTAGTGGTTCGGAGAAAAGAAATGATTGAACACTTCTGTGAACAATTCTTCCAAACCTCCTCGTAGTAGTAATAGAAAAATGGTATTACATCCACTGACAATCTTGACAAAGAGTTTTTATTTTATATTTACTGTGATTTAAGCTTAAGATGTATGAACCTAAATTTAAAGAAGATTTCACTGAAAGAAATAATCTATATAAACAAATACAAAATAAATTTTAATATGTACAATCTAATACTCTATGAATTCATCCAAATATTGAAAAAAAAAAAAAAAAAAAAAACTTTCCGTTTTCAACCACTGCCTTGTGAGTGGTTTAAATTTCAATAAAATTGGTTAACAATGGTTCTTTATTCTTTAATTATGAAATCCTCATTACTATAAATGATTCATTTAAAGAAGTTTCAATTAATTATTAAATTCTTAATTAAACTGTTCTATGTTAAGTAACATTGTGGCCATCAAATTTCTAAACTTCTACATTTCCAGTAAATTTTATTTATTTTCTCAACATAAATGATTAATAGTGAAAATGCGAAAGTATATATATTTTAGTTCATTATTTAATAAAGGTATAAATTTTTAAAGTAAACGCATCAAAGTAACTTAAATTATTTCAATTGATCATGTTTAGACTTCTGATTGATGAGGCTTTCTCTCACACTTTCCACCGTTAGGGGTCTTAATTACAGCAAGTTCATCATAAAGGTTGTTAAAGTGGATTAAAATAAAAATCAGTGATAATAAAATATTTCTGTATCACTTCACTGATGATGTTTTCTTTAAATAAGAAAATCAATTTTGAAACCAATGAAAATGTTTAAATCAGTTTGTCAAAAAGACTTTTTTCTGTTGACACCGATATTACTTTTAAACGAGACTCCCTTGACAATGTTTATTTACAAGATTATAAAAGTACGTGAATCAACTACTATGCAAGATTTATTGGGTAATTTGCTTTTTAAGCCTTGCACTAAGTATCAAATAAAAAATTCCCGAATAGTTATATTTAGGTGTAAATGTACATGCTTAATTCGAAAATAAAGAGATTGATAAAATCTACCGTTTTGGAATTGTCGACAATAAAATATCGTACTCATTCGCGTTACATCACGGCAGCCATTACTGGCGTTGTTTGCGTACATTCGTTGCTGATTAGATTTGCGCGGAAGATCAGCCTAGTTAACATCCTACTGCTCTTACTTGTCTATCTTACTGCGCAACGGAGGAGTCATTGCGTGCGTAATCAAGACGAGTGAATTTTAATTCCGCAGCAAATATATGCAAACAACGTCAGTAATGCCAACTGCGACACGAATGAGTCCGAAATTTTATTATCGATAACTCCAAAACAGTAGATTTTATCAAAATTTTTGTTATTTTCGAATTAAGCATGTACATTTACACCAAAATATAACTATTTGGAAAAATTTCATTACATAATTAGCGAAGGGTTTAAAAAGCAAATTACCCCTCGGTTTTAATGTTTCAAGTTTGTGTTTTTTTTTTTTTTTCATAATCCTGATCTAGAATTGCCAAGCAATAGAAAACCAATGCCTGAACTCCAGCAATTATAGGTTACACACAACCTTCCTACTCTTTTTGAAAAATAATTTTTAAAATTGTTTTAAATCATTGCTAATTTTTCTAAAAATGTCCAGAAAATCTACCAATAAATTATCTATTGTCAGTCAAATACTGACTGATGAAGAACTCTTAAATCAAGAGTGGACACTAAGAATCTTGACTAAAATAATTAGCAAAGCTAATGAATTAATGTCTTTGGAATGGTTGGCAAATTGCCAAGCCATGCAAATTTTATAAAATGGTAAATAATATTTCATTAGAATTAGTGAACATATTTTTATGATTTACTAAATTTTTATAAATTTACAAATAAAAAAAAAAAAAAAAAAAAAAATTTATTTCATATTTATTTCTTTATAGATTGGTTTAATGATAAACTTTGCATTGTATTAGTTGGTTTACATTTTTAGAATGTTGCAAATAAAATATATTCTTGTAAATAAACAATCTAATAGTGTTTAATATTTTTCTTGTAAATTCTCAGAGAACAAAGAAAATGTATAATTTTACATTTTGAACATTACATCCTTACTCATGTGCCTGTTTTGAATGTTATTCTGCCAAGATATGCATGTTCTTTTCTAAATATATTACAACCAATGTGTCTGCACTTTTTCTTTTTTGAACTCCAAACCTAAAACTTGATTTGTGACTCAAATATATTGATATTTGCATTTGTCCTGTTGATCAGAACTTGAGGAGAGTAAGTGTTGATTCCCTCAAATATCTTAAACTTATTTTGACCACAAATTATTAGCCTATTAGTATCTAAGTTTAAAGCTTCTCTATTGCTTTTTGATGTTTATAAAATCTTACTTTTAGAAGGTAGTTGGATTTGGTGTTGTTTTCCCAACCACAAATGTATTTGGAATATACGTGCCTTAACCAAACACATTAGAACTTTAAAAATAGATAAACATGTCTTTTAGGTCACATGGGGAAAATAATGTTATAAGCAAAGCAATACAATGTGTAGAATACTTTTTCTTGAAACTGGGAAACAAAAATAATCTATCAATATACATTTTATAAAAGATTATTTACAGGATTTTCCAAATATTGGTATATATTATAAAAAAAACGGTTCTTTAGATTAGTTTTAGGTAATGTTTTTGTGTTTTGAAACATGTATTTTCTCATGAAAAAATAGTTTAAGAGCAAATACCAATGAATTTCAAAAAGATTTGTAACTTTAGATATTATTTCACTATCACTTCAGCATTTTCGCTATTTATCTGAAATATTGTTGACACATTAAAAAATAAATAGATGAAATAACTTAATACAAATACTGAATTAATTTCAGCTTACATCACTATGTAAAATGTCCACCACAAAATAAGAACTAGTCAGAGAAACTAATAATATTTGCTACAAATGTTTACAATATTTTATTTTGTTCACAAATCAATGTGTCAATTTCCTACTAAATGAATGAACTTGTTAAGAACTGTATGCACAATTTTTAATCTTAGGAGATTGAATTGACAAAATTTACACAAAGGAATTTCTTATGTGTTAATGTTCAAAATCTTAATGCTATATCAGATTGATATCAAGTAACATTGTTAGCATTAGACAATTTTACTTTTAATTAAATATCACTTTCAAGGGAATAACAGTACACTATTAATATAAATGAGAATATTGTAAAATACTGACACCATTTACCATAATAATATCAATATATTACTAAATAATTAAGCCAACATGATATTAGCAGCAAAAAATTAAAAAAATAAAA